CCAATAAATCTTTCAAGCATTTCTTCCCTGGAGAAACCTTCTCAGATTCCCTCAAGGAGTCACGGTCATCCCTCACTTTGCCCCATCTCTCTACCTCATTTAACCTCTCCTCAGGCTCGAGTCTGCCTTCCTCACTAAACTAGGAGTTCCTTAGGAAGACAGTGTGATACTCATTTCTCTATCCTCCATTTCCAGCCCTGTGACTGGGATACAATAGTGCTCAGTTGATATCTAATAAAGACACTGACCACATTATAGCTATTAAGAAGAGCCAGCATGTACTAAGTACTTACTATAATTCCTAACACTGTGCTGAACTCTTTAAATGCATTGTCTTATGTCATCCCTGTAAGAACTGTGGTGAGGGCCAGGTGCTCATGCCTGTAATCCTAGCACTTTGGGAGGCTGAGGCAGGTGGATCACCTGAGTTTGGGAGTTTGAGACCAGCCTGACCAACGTGGAGAAACCCTGTCTCTACTAAAAATACAAAATTAGCCAGGTGCAGTGGCGCATGCCTGTAATCCCAGCTACTCGGGAGGCTGAGGCAGAAGAATAATTTGAACCCAGGAGGCAGAGGTTGTGGTGAGCCAAGATCATGCCATTGCACTCCAGCCTGGGCAACAAGAGCGAAACTTTGTCTCAAAAAAAAAAAAAAAAAAAAGAAAACAAAAAAAAAAAAAAAAAAAAAAAAAAAAAAAAAAAAGAAAAGAAAAGAAAAGAAAAAAAAAAGAAAAGAAAAAAAGTAAAGAACTGTGGTGGGTTAATATTGTTACTATACCTATTTTACAGATGAGGAAACTGAGACTCAGGGATGTGAAGTGACTTGCCCAAGGACATTAAGCTAGTCAGTTGTAGAGATGGGCTTCAAACTCAGGGCTGATTCCAGTGCCATGCACTTAGCTATTATGCTATGCTGCCTCCATGAAAGAAAGGATAAGATCCGACCAGGTGCAGTGGCTCATGCCTGTAATCCCAGCACTTTGAGAGGCTGAGGCGGGCAGATCATTTGAGATCAGGAGTTTGAGACCAGCCTGACCAACATGGTGAAACCCAGTCTCTACTAAAAATACCTCCCCCCCAAAAAAATTAGCGGGGGATGGTGGCGTGCCTATAATCTCAGCTACTTGGGAGACTGAGGCAGGAGAATTGCTTGGACCCGGAAGGCTGAGGTTGCAGTGAGCTGAGATCGTGCCACTGCACTCAAGCCTGGGCAACAAAGCAAGACTTTTTCTAGAAAAGAAAGAGAGAGAGAGAGAGAGAAGCTCTCAGAGAACAACAGCGTTGTGAAAACTAGGGTTTGCAGGGGAATTTGTAAATTGACAATAACAAAGTCAGCTTTTTCTGGAGTAACAGTAACGATCACAGATGCCATTAGTTGCCAATCGAAAAGCCTTCCTCGGTGCTGACAAACTTCTGCTTTTGTCTGTGAACACCCTGCCACAGGTCATTCAGGTAAATCCTTACTGGTCAAACTAATTTTAGTAGAGTGATCCCTCTTGTCTGTGATTGGTTCCTTGGTGGGCATGTAATCCCGTTAACTATTAAAAAGAGACAGCTGGATTTAATTGCTGGACTTGGTGGGCGAAGATGTGGTGCCCAGAACTCCTGAAGCCACCTTTTGCTCGTGAGGGCTGGAACCAGCACACTGAGGATGCTTGAATGAAAATATAGGAAAGAACTTGATTCTTGTTGGGGTTGTTGAGTTACTAGACCATTCCTATATCAGCCCTTCTTGATGCTTGAATAATAAGTCACTTCTATTGTCTAAGCTACTTTGAATTGGTCTTCTATTCCTTGTAGCTAAAAGTATTGTGATACAGTGACAATGAAGGTGGTCAAATAATTCCTGTCTTGTAAAATGATATAAACTATGAGGAGCTTTACTAGCCTCTAGGAGCTACCACCCTGGCCATGGTCCACAGACCTTTATTCTTTAATGAGAATGATGATCTTGGCCTGGGTGACTACAGATAGTGACCTGGGACATCATCTGAGTAAGCCTGCAGGACCTACAAAAGGTACAGTCCTGGCTATCTGGAAGTTCAGTTTACTGAATGTTGATTAAGTATGTCCATGGTGCTGGGATCATAAAGACTAATCAGACACAGTCCCTGCCCTTAAGGATGACACAAGAAGGATTAGAGAAAAAGACTTTTTTTTTTTTTTTTTTTTTTTT